CCCCTGCGCCACGACCTGATGCCCCATGGCAGCAGCGAGGGCGTCTTCTGGATGGAGTACAGCGACTTCATCAAGTATGGCATGGCCAGAGCAGAGCTGTGGGGCAGGGAACAACGGGGCAGGGATGGAAAATGGGACATGGGGTCATGATGGGGCAGGGATGGAAAATGGGATGTGGGGTCATGATGGGGCAGGGATGGAAAATGGGACGTGGGGTCATGATGGGGCAGGCAGGACTGGTCATGCCTAGGGAATGTGGGTGTCCTGCAGCATGCAGTGTGCTCCATCAGGACTGAGCCCAGCTTCCCCACAGGTATTTTGACTCCGTGGATATCTGCAAGCTCCATTCAGACTGGCACGAGGTGCGTGTGCAGGGCATGTTCCCCAACAAGGCCAACGGGCCGGTGACGGTGACGTCGCTGACGGTGCTGGAGCGCGCAGCTCTGGAGTTTGCCCTCTTCCAGGAGGGCAGCAGGTGAGCTGGGCAGGGCAGTGACACTGGGGGGGCTCAGCTTGGACAAAAGGAGCTCAGGGGGGACCTTCTGGCTCTGCACCACTTCCTGATAGGAGTGTGCAGCCAGTTGGGGGTTAGGCTCTCCTTTTAGACAGGACAAGGGGAAACAGCCTCAAGTTGCACTAGGGGAGGTTTAGCTTGGATATTGAGGAAAATTTCTTCACTGAAAGGGTGGTCAGGCCCTGGCACAGCTGCCCAGGGCAGTGATGGAGTCCCCATCCCTGCAAGGATTTAAAAATCTTATAGATGTGGCACTTGGGGACATGGGTTAGTGGTGACCTTGGCAGTGCTGGGTTAATGATTGGTTATTGGTCTTGATGATCTTAGAGGACTTTCCCAACATTAATGATTGCACAATTCTGTGGTTCTGTGGGCCCAGAAGAAATCCAGACACATTGGCATCCCTTGGGGTCACAGAGCTCAGGGATGGACCCTCATCACCATCTCTCCAAATCTTGGGAACTGCTCATGTTTAGCTGGAGCCCAACTCCTGAATGCAGGGCTGGTTCCTGAGGCAGTGGGAAAGCTCTTCCCTGGAACTGCTGCCTGTGTCCTGGGTGACGTGTGACCCTTCCTTCCTGGCACAGGAGGTCAGACACAGTGGACAGCCACTTGCTGGACTTGTGCATCATGGTTTTCCGGGCCACCTTCACCAGTGGGAACAAGCTGAGCCTGGGCAGGCTGATGGCCCACAGCAAACGAGCCGTCAAGAAATTCGTCAACTGCGACGTGATGCTGGAGCCGGGCGAGTACGCCGTGGTGTGCTGTGCCTTCAACCACTGGAGCGCTGCCCTGGCCGGCCCTGCTGCCCAGGGTGAGGCCATGGAGGGGCCCTGGGGGAGGGAGAGGTGCCAAAGCCCTCCATCCTCCTCATGGGGACCTTCTTCAAGGTGGAGGTTGCCTGTTGCATGTTGCACAGCCCAGGAACACCATGCACCTGGGGACTGTGGGCTTGGTGAGAGTTCCCTGATCCCCGTTCCTCTGGTGTCTCTGCAGCTTCCAGTCCCACCAGCAGCCGACCAGCCACTGATTATTCCAGCTACATCCTGGCTATCTACAGCTCCCGCCTGGTGATGGTGGAGCAGGTGGACGCACAGCCCACCACGCTGGCAGATGCCATCATCCTGCTGACCGAGAACAAGGGCGAGCGCCACGAGGTGAGTGGGGGGCACGGGGGCTGCAGTGGGGAGGGGGTGATGCTGTCAGAGGGAGCCTGGACCTGTGCAGGGGCTGGGCAGGGCTGAGCCAGCTCTGGCTGCCACCCTTGGATGCCCACCCCCTTTGCTCCCTGGGGCAGCGTGGGGCACCCCAGCAGACGGGCTGCCTTTGGCTAGAGGGGAGGATGCCAGTGCAGGGGTTTTGATGTTGGGATGGGGGTGCCCAGAGGCTTCATCCCCTTCCCTGCTGTGTGTCCCAGGGCCGTGAGGGGATGACCTGCTACTACCTGACCCACGGCTGGGCAGGGCTCATCGTGGTGGTGGAGAACCGACACCCCAAGTCCTACCTGCACGTGCAGTGCGACTGCACCGACAGCTTCAACGTGGTGTCCACGCGCGGCAGCCTCAAGACACAGGACAGCGTCCCACCCCTGCACAGGTCTGGGGTAGGCAGGGGTGGGTCACAGGGGCTGCCAGGAGCCTGGAGAAAGGCAGAGCCAGGGCTGGCAGGGAGGCATGGACAGGGTGGGATTGCCAGGACAGAGTGGGATTGGCAGGACAAGGTGGGATTGGCAGGAGAGGATGGGATTGCCAGGACAGAGGTGGGATTGCCAGGAAAGAGGGTAGGATTGCCAGGAAAGAGGTGGGATTGTCAGGACAGAGGTGGGATTGCCAGGACAGGGTGGAGTTGGCAGGAAAGAGGTGGGATTGCCGGGAGAGGATGGAATTGCCGGGATAGAGGTGGGATTGCCAGGCCAGAGGTGGGATTGCCAGGACAGGGTGGAGTTGGCAGGAAAGAGGTGGGATTGCCAGGATAGAGGTGGGATTGCCAGGACAGCATGGGATTGTCAGGAGAGGATGGGATTGCCAGGACAGGGTGGCATTACCAGGCCAGAGGTGGGATTGCAGGAGTGGAGGCTGCTGCCCTGAGCCCCCCTGGCTCTCTCCACAGGCAGGTGTTGGTGATCCTGTCCCAGCTGGAGGGTAACGCTGGTTTCTCCATCACGCACCGCCTGGCGCACCGCAAGGCCACCCAGGCCTTCCTCAATGACTGGATGCTGACGAAGGGCACCCACAACCCGCTGCTCACGCCCGAGGTCGCTGGGCTGCACGGGCCCCGGCCCCTATGACGAAGAGCCTCCCCCTCCCCTCCCCACCACCCTGTTCCTGTCACCGAGCCGCTGGCCCGGGGTGCCCCCCTGAGCCACCAGTGCTGAGCTGTGGGGCACAGCTGGAGTGGCACCCCCAGCGCTTTGCCCCACGCCACGGGGCGGGGGTGAGTGCTCAGGGCCAGCACCAGCCCTGGCATGGCTGCCCTGGCACGGCCGCCCTGGCACCACCGCCCTGGCACCGCTGCCCCCAGGCACTTTAGGAGGAGCAGCTGGGGGCACGGGGCCATCTCAGGATCCCACCTGCCCCGTTCCTGCGCTGTGCCCGGTGCCCTCTGCCCGCCCTGGGGACTGTGGGACAGGGAGGGGCTGGAGGTTGCTGTCAAGACCCTTCCCAGGCACCACGCTCAGGACTCTGCCCCTTCCCGTGGCACCAGGGCACTGGCGCTGCAAAAAGAAGAATATACCTCTGATGTCTGTCCGTCTGTGTGACCCTCCGTCTGTCCCTGGGCCCTTCCCTCTGTCTTGTTGCCCCCTTTGTCTGCTGTCGGGACCAGCGTGGTGCTGAGGCTGGGCTGGGGGGTGCCAGGGTCACGCTGCCATGGTGCCACCCCTGCCAGGGACCCCCACCCATCCTGGGTGCTGGGGCTGGTGGGGAGAGGGCACAGAAAGCTGCTGCTGAGGGGGCTGTGCTGTAACTGGGGTGAAACTCAGAGGTTTCACCACCTCCTGCTCGGCTCCGGGTGGGGAGCAGGGCCCCGGGGTGCTGCAGGCGGGGGCTGTGGCCCGGGGCCCTGTCCCTGTCACACAAGTGTTACTATGCAAAGGCAGCCGTGGGAGCAGTGCCTGGAGAGAAGCCATGGCCCGAGCTGGGCTCAGCCCCTGGCACTGCCCCCTGTGCCCCCTCCGTGCCCCGTGGAGGGAGGCTGGGCAGCAGGTACCGACCCAGAGTTACCACGAGCCCATGTGCTGGGGAGGGGGTGGCTTTGGGGGGGAACAGAGAGCCCCCTCCTCCAGAGCCCGAGTGCTGTGGGAGGCAGTGAGCACAAGGCAAAGGCTGCACCTTGGGGTGCTGCTGGCCCTGTGGGTGCTCTGAGGTGGGGGCTGATCCTGGGGGGATCCCACGTTTTCAGGGCTTCGTGGCTCTCTGACTTGACATGTGTGTGTGTGTTTATCTCTGTGTGTGTGTGTGTGTGTGTGTGTGGTTTGGGGGTTCCCCTCTGTCTCCTCCCTGAGCTGTGTGGATTTACAGCTGAGGGGGGCTGATGGGCAATGCTGGACCCTGTTCTGGCAGGGGCCGTGCTGGGGGATCTGCACCCCAAACCCTGCACCAGCAGCTGGGCTGGGCGGGGGGTGCAGAGTGTGCCCCTCTGTGTCCCCTGGGGATTGGGGGTGGCAGGGGGGTGGGCTGCCCTGGCACCTCCCAGCCCCCCCAGCTGGGGCTGCTGAGCCAAGCTCTGTCTGTATTTCTGTTTGTTGATCTGTTTTCTCTCTTTCCAGCTCCTTCTTCCTTGGGATGATTTGTCCTTCACTTTTTTTTCTCCTCTCTCTTTATGTCTTTCTGAGCTGTGAATATTTTTAACCCTGTAAATACTGTCCAGCTCTTCAAAATCATAGGATATTTTATCAATTGTAAATCAGATCAGTAATCCCTGTATGATATGAATTATCCATGGGTGGTTTTCAAACTCAGGTTCTGATGGACCAAATAAAGTTTTGTTTTTTACTGAAGCTGTTTGGTTTTCTTGTGGAAGAGAACAAAAGGGATGAGTGGGCTGGTTTGGGGGTCACACCAATGGGTCTTGAAGGCATTTCCGTGGAGCAGTGACAGTCGGTGCTGGGGGGAGAGCTGAGCACCCATAAAAGGGGAATTGGAAATTTTCCTGCACGTGGGGGTGCAGGAGCACAAAGAGGGGCGGAAATAAAGCAAAACAAAAGCAAAATCCAGAAATTCCCATAAAATGAGCGGTGTTCTCTCGCAGGGCCGTGCCGCGGCCGGGAGAGGGCACCCACCATCCGCATGGATGCTCTCCCGCTCGTGCCTCAGTTTCCCCAGCCGTTCCGTGCCGGGCGGCTCCATGGCCGTGCCCGCTGCATGCCCGGCTCCGTGCCCGGGCTGGGGATGCCGGAGCCGCTCCCTCCTCGCTGCTCCCCCGCTCCTGCTCCTGCTCGGGCCGTGCCTGTGTCCGGCGGCGGGGCCGCCTGGCGCGGGGGGAACGTTCCGGCTGAGCGCAGGCGGCCCCGGCTGCTCTCGCCCGGGGTGGGCACCCTGCGACCAGTAGGGAGAGACAGAAGGAGAGGATTTCGCTCTTTCTTACAGCAACTTGTAATAGATTTTTCCGGGCGAAACATCTTTGCATTCAGGAGGCCCTGTCACAAGCCATCAGCCTCAGCCAGGGAGAAACAGATGGAGAGTTAATTTTGGCGGGGAGGGCACGGCCACGCTCCCTCCTCTCCCTCAGTCTGTTCAGGAGCAGGAGCCGGG